TATTGAAGCCAAAGTTTCTGCCTCCTCTGCCTCCTCATTTCAGAGGAAGTTAACAAAACGTTTTGTCAAAATTAGGTGAGCTCTTTTCCCCAGCAAAATGAAAGCTACCGTTAAGCCCCTACACCCACTTCTGTACACCAGAGAGATACACACTCACAAAGAAGAAAACTGACTTAAAGCAAGTCTGAAAATATCTTTGCAGGCTAAAATGGTTAAGGTGGAAGGCCTGTTAATAATGAAGGCAGTTGGCTGGCTTGTTGGGGAGTTGGTGGGAATTGTAGTGAATATATCCTGTGTGAAGTCTTGGGGGAGAACAGGAACAAACGGATGAAGCCAAAAACTGTTTCCCTTAGTGATAGTAAGTTTTACTACAATAATGGGAACAATGAGGCTTCCTTGCTGAGGACTCCTATTAGATCCTGTATGTATTTTAGCTAGCACACTGTATGTACTTCCTATTATGAACTCCTTTTTTGTGCGCTTCCCTAACCTCATATACCTAAGTGTCCAGGTATGGAGTAAATTTGTCTGTTTGCTTTGGTTTCCCAGAATTTGCTAGAGAGGTTTGCTCTTTCTGGGCCTCCAGACTAGGAGTGTATTCACTGCCACATGCAGGCCTCTAGGCACTATCCATGGGAGCTCATGCACTGACTTACTTTTCTGGAATACGTATAAACCTTAGTAGGCTGTAAACTGTCACCTTCAAGGACAATAGACGAAGAGCTGTGAGAGTGGTGTCCTTGAGCTGGACCCTAGTTGGCCATTCTTTATTCAGTCTCTGTTTCTGTCTCCGTCCGTCTCTCTGTCTTTGTCTCTGTCTCTCTCTCTCTTTCTCTCTCTCTCCCTCCCTCCTTCCCTGCCTCCTTGTTTGATTTTTGCCGGTCTCTTTTCTGTTGCTTCCCTGTTGATTGTGCTTTGCAGGCATCAGATCTAAGCTACTTATCCTTGTCAACACATCTGCGGCTGCCAAGGCAGCTTCCAGCACGCTTCTCATCAGTGTGCCTGTCTCTCATATCACTCCCGACTCCTGTCACTTTACTCACACTTCTTAACTTTTGTTAGAAAAGGATTTGCTAGCCCAGAAAAGGAGTCCTGCCCCTCCAAGGTGTGGAAGTGCTAATTACGCAGGTTTAGGCTCATGCTTGGCACAAGGAAATGTCTCCCAGCTTTTAGTGAGGGATTCCTCTCCACTTCAGTTGGTGCACATGGCCGTGTGTGTGTGTGTGGGGGGGGGGGGGGGGGGACAGAGGATCTGTCTTGTGACACTCACCATTGATTTTTCAATACTGTTCTACTTTGCAACTTTGGTGGGTCAGAGATTTCACCCTTAGTTGCCCACTAGAGTCATCTGGGCAGCTTCTAAAATTCTTGATGCCCACACTATCCTCCAGGGTAATTAAATGAGCATATCTAGAAGTGGTACCCAGAATTTCATAATATTGTTTTTTAAAAATTTAGTTAATTGTACTTTAATTTAAAATTAGCAAAATTCTCTTTTATTAAAGTTTTTAGTTTTTCATTGAAGTAGCATGGTTACAACACTGTTTATGTTACGAATTGCAAAATTACCACCCCTCTACCACCACTAGAATGCCTAAGACCCTCCACCTCTCTCCCCATCTACCTTACAACACATACATATAAACACTGCCCAAACCTGACTTGGTAACATCTGATCTGTGTTCAAAAGCCTAGGAGTTGAAGGGGTTGTTATCATTAGATATTATTTATTCCTTTGCTTTGTTTCTTTATATACTGCATATATTCTGCATTTGTTCTTTTCCCCCTGACTAATCTCACTTAATATAACCCCCTCTACCTCTATCGAGTTGTAACGAAGGCAAGATTTCATCTCTTCTTTTCGCTATGTAGTATATTAAACTGTGTATATGTATCATGATCTTCATTTTAAATCCATTCATCTGCCATTGCACATTTGGATGGTCATCAGATCTTGGCTCTTGTAGATAGCACTTATAATTAACATAGCCCTGCATTTATTTTTTCAAATGAACATTTTTGTGTTCTTAGGAATAGATGCTAAGAGTTGGGATTACTAGGCATACAGGAGTTCTATTTTTTATATTTTGAGGTGTCACCATACCTTTTTCCATGTGTCTGAACCAGACAGTAGTCCCACCAACAGTGAATCATGGGTCCTTTTTCTTTGCATTCCTGCCAACACTGGCAGTTTTGGTCTTGTTGATGTATGCCATTCTTCCTGATGGAAAGTGATATCTCATTGTTGTTTTGACTTATATTTTCCAGATAATCAATAATGAAGAGCACCTTTATGCGCCTCCTAGCTATATAGATGTGTTCTTTGATAAAGTGTTTTTTTTTTTATATCCTCTCCTCTTTCATGGGGCTGATTGTTCTTGCTGTTGTTATTATTTAAAAGCATCCTAGGTGATTTATTTCATTGTGACCCAAGAGTTGATAGCTCTTGGTCTAACCTTAAATCCTAAAATGCTAGAAACCCGAATTCCAACTCAAAGAGGATTAATTTTTGTATTTAACAACAATAAAGATTCTAGGTCTAGAGAGGTACTACATAGTTCAAGGAGCTTGTCCTGCTTGTAAGCAACTTGTCTTCAATTTTGGTATTGCATGTAATCCTGGAGCACCATTAGGAAGGTGGTGCTGAGCACAGAGCTAGAAGTATGCCTGGGGCACTGCTAGGTAGGGTTCAAAAGTTTGTAAAATATAAATAAATATAAAACAATAAAACTCTCCAAGAAACAAATAGATGTTTACCTAAAACATGTATATATCAAAAAATACCAACAACCATAATAATAACAATAATTTTGTATCAAATAAGCTAGACCATTTTTTCTTTGCCTGTGTCTTGCAGTGAAATCTAAAGAATTGCATTAGTAGTTTCACAAGCGAATCAAATCTAACCATTATAGAAAAATATATGTATTTGTTGTTATGTTAGTCTCAAATTGAAAACGAGTTTGAGAGAGCATTTTGGTCTGTATTTTTAGCCAAAGCATAGAGCTCTTGGTCTGGGAGACATTGAGAATTTCAAAATAGTTCGGTACCTAAAAATACCCTTCCTGAAGTGGGACTTGAGGCCTGAGAGGGATGAATGGTTTTTTTCTTCTATATTTAAAGTTGCCACAAAAAGTCTATCTTAAATTTATATATGTTTGTATTTTTAGAGACCCAGGAAGCAGGTGTTATGCACCAAGCAACAAAGAGGGTTACGTGGCGGGGCAGTGAACAGAAACCTAAAAATCTGAAGACAGGGAGAAAGGCAGGAACCTTTGACATTAGAAAGAAATAAACTTTCCACAGATAGAGGATGAACAAACTTGCCTCAGTTTTTGCAGTGGAGATCTGTGTCCCCCATCTTCCTAAAGGCCAACTACTAGGTCTGGGCCACATGTGTCTAGGTGTTTCAGCTTTCTTAGTCTAGCATAGAGGTAAATGTTTTTTAGTACATTTTCAGGCTTCACTTGACTCTAAACTCATGCCTTTATGCTATTGCCAGTGTAAAAGGAGCACATTGAAGAAAACATTGGGGACGATCTTGTATCTCCTCTCAGCCTATACAATGTATGCTGCAAAGAGTCGTCAACAGGTTATGGATGAATATGAATGTATATTAATCCTGACACTTCCTTTATCTGCAAACATATTCTGTGTTCTTTCCCACTTGGTATGAAGGATCAAATGTAATATCTTGTGCTTCTTCGTTTTGTGACCAAATATCCTTTCAGTAAATGTTTTCAGACACTTTTTATGTGACAGGCACCATCCTTAGCATAGGTGACATGATATGTAAATAGGCTTAGAATAACCCATGAAATTTTCATTTTGACAGTGAATTTATAAATGAGGAAGTGATTTGAGGGAGTATGAGCTAAAGAGAAAATTCTTCTATAGAAGTTGCTATAGACTAGCATCAGGGCGGTTTTCTAGCAGAAGAGTGAGAGCCAGGCTTAAGGAAGGAAAGGACTTGTCTTCCACTTGGAAAAGCCCGTTTCTCCTAAGGAGTGATAAGTCCTGAGTTGCTGCTGGTGGTGGTGGGGTTAAGGGATAAAGTGACAGGAAAACGCTCTAAAGAAGTTGCATGACTTGGATTCACCTGCAGGATTTCAGCACCTCCTCAGTGTTTTGAATCGTGTCTCATAGACACCCTAGCCAAGGCTGGTTTGTCAGCTGATTTCTCTCAAGGCACTGGAAGTGAGAGTGAAGAGAATTCCTTACAGAAAAGACCTTTGACAACTCTACAGGATGTAGGTCAGGAAAATCCTGCTTTACCCCCACATTCTCCCAGAATGTGGCCAATTTCATTCACACTTTAGAACTCTGCTCTTTGAGAGATGTCTGCTGGTCTGGGTGCGACTCCTAGATTTAGTTCCCACATCTTCTTTGCTTCTCTCTATTTTGGGTCACCCTACCCTGATCTTCCCTCGTCTCTTCACCTGACCAAACTATTATTTACTTCAGGGTACTTTCCATTGTGCCACCAGCACCTGCTGCTGTGGAGTGGGCTAATCCAGTGTGTGCTTCTTCAGAGGCTGCAGAGGTTTTCTGTAGAGAGAGTGTCTTGTGATAGTCACTGACAAAGGCAAGAGGTTCCTCCCACTGCCCCCACCTCACCCACCACCCTACAATGGCCTTGATTACAAATGGTCTCTGGGAGGGAAGCTATACTCTGATGTGAAAGCATTCTTTCATGTTTCTCGGTATTCATTCTAAGGACTTCGGGTTTATTTGAAATTGCATAAGATCATCAGGTGGGGGACTGGAATGATAGTACAGTGGGTAGGGCATTTGCCTTGTACATGGCTGACCCGGGTTCAATTCCCAGCATCCTATATGGTCCCTTGAGCACTGCCAGGAGTAATTTCTGAGTGCAGAGCCAGGAGTAACCCCTGTGTATTGCCACATGTGACCCAAAAGAAAAAAAAATAAAATAAGATCATCAGGAATTTATTGGCTGCTTAAATAATCATTTCCTGTTTCTTTCTCTTCCTTTTTAGTTAACAATGACATGATGGCCACAGACAGCAATAGTGCAATAAAGTTTTCACAGTTGTGTAAATTTTGTGATGTGAGATCATCTACCTGTGACAACCAGAAATCTTGCATGAGCAACTGCAGCATTACGGCCATCTGCGAGAAGGCACAAGAAGTCTGTGTGGCTGTCTGGTAAGGTCGTGTTTTATGAATCCTCGCCTTTTCCTCTTGTATGGGTAATCTGTGCTGCTTGTACAGTGTCAGTGTGTCTCCATTTCTTAAAAGTAGACACTCATTCCCTATCCTTTATATGACCTCTCTTTCAAATATCAGCATTAACATTTGCAATAATAGAGATCAAACCTAGGCACACATGCGTATAAAACAGACACTGTTGCTGAGACACATACCCAGCCCTCTCTTTCAGTTATTAAAAGTAGTTTTCTAGGGACCGTGTTTTTATTTGGTGCATACACAAGTATTTTTGTGTGCTTGTGGTATGATATTTATAATAAATCTTATCAACAAGAAGGATTTCCCTCTTAACTGGTCCTTTAACTGAACCCCCACCACTCAGTGTTACACTGTAGTGACAACAGAATCTTTGTTCTTCTGAGGCAATGACAGACCTGTTTCGTGGGAGGAGAAGAAATGAAAGGTGGACTGTCAGAAGAGAACAAAGCACTTATGAGAATAGGGGAAGTTACTCCAGGAACCAGGAAAACATTTCATTTCCTAGTTAGAAGTTCTGGCCATGCCCTTCACAACCTCACTGGGCCAGCCACTACATCTTTCCCTTGGATTGAGTCATCTATTTTTTTAGATGAAATTCCCTTCTTGCTTTCTTAATTAGAACCCATCTCTCTTACACCCATGCATGCACAAACACACATACACATCAGTATCTCTTCCTCACACACAAACTCTCATATATTCAGTCCCACTCTCATACACACTCACATATACTGAGACACACACAGCCTCAAAAACCCACATTAATTAACATATGTATATTATGTATATATTTCAGACTCAATTCTGACATTTTGAATTAACAGCTAATTTTTTTAGGTTATTTATGTCTCTTGGCCTTTTAATAAACAAGAATGTAAAGAAACAAGCACTTTTCTCCTTCTGAGGGCTGTAAGTCTTTTGAAACTTTTTCCACATATAAAGTTGATGATAGATATGAACACCTTACAAATTTCTGCACACACTGTAATATGAACTAGTTTCTTAAGAACTAAAAGGAATATTAGCAGCAAAGGTCTCCTATGACTGCCTGTTGTACCTGTCAGCTTCCTTCATACTGATATCTGAATAATATTGGGAAATTGCATCCAGTGAGAAAGGATAGGTATGGTTAGAAGTATATGAAGCACATCATCTCAGGAATGATTGAGGCATTAAAATGGGGTTCATCCATAAAGAGAGAGTACAGACTCGATTTCAGAGATATTTGAAGGATCCTCTGGTGAAAAATAGAATAAATTTGTTTGCATAACTCTGAAGGACAGAAGGAAGCACTATAAAATTTAGAAGGGGAGGACCTTTGTTTAGTGCAAGTGTAAATATTTTCTTAATTGTATGTTTCCAAAGTGTGGAACAAACTTCCTTCTCAGCAAGAGTAAAGCTCAGGAGAGGTTGAAACTGTATGAAAGTACAATGCAGGGCAGATAAAGACACCAGACTGGACAATCTGAAGGCTTCCTTCATTTGTTCTCTTCTCTGTTGGCATTGCAGTGAAATTTCTATCAGGGTGCAAGAGCTTATTTCATAGAAACAGGCTCTTTTAATCATATTTTCTCCTGACCTCTAAGTACAAGTCTGAGTTATTGATTATGGACCAACTATCTCAGGAAAAGATCCTGTTTGCAGATTACAGGAAATAGGAACATGTGGGGCAGAAGCCACTGTTCCCTCTGCTCTCCAGTTCTGAAGAGTAAATGTAGTGACTGTTCATTAGATCTGATTTGGTAGAGATTGACTGCTATGGAGAATGTGGACGCCATAGCCCTTACCCCAGACCCAGACCCAGCCCTTACCCCAGACTCAGGACTGACCACCTCAGCTCTGTGACACTGGTTTCTGAGGATTTACCTGAATCTTTCCAGAAAACCTCCTCTATTGACCAGAGAAGCTTTGTTCATTTATGGCTCTACCTCCTGGGTAGCCCACCTCTCTTGCCTGGTTTATGCAGGGATACAAATACCTGATGATTCTGCCACAGATATCTCTGTGGGCCATCTAAGCTACACATTTTCCAAAGAATCAGCTCAGTTGTTTTTTTTCATCTGTGTCTATGTGCATGGGATAAGGATCAAGGCGATCCTGAAACTGATCTCCCCTTCAGATACCAAAGGATAACTACAGTTAAGTTTAAGGGAGTGGAAAGTTATCTGCAGATGTTAAAATTGCCCAAGGCCCCATTTGCTCCCAATCTCCACAGTGTTTAAGGGTCAACTCTATTTTCCTTTGTTTCCTTCTTGTACCCAGCTGTATGCAAAGATGTTCTACAAAGTTAGTTCTGCTTACCAAGAAGAGCACTCTTGCAAGAGTGAATGGAGGAAGCAAAGGAGGTCTTTAACCAGACTCAAGTAGTATGATTCATTTCCTCTTTGTCACTTTAGTTCTCTAGGCCAATGGGAAGTAGAAAGCAGGAGCTGTCCTGTGGCTACTGCAGCTGTGCTGTATGGCTCATAGCTTCTCCTGCATCCCGTTCCTTGAAACTTTAAATGAAAGAGATTCCATGCTTTTCCCTGGAAGCATAGAGGGTTCAGTTTGTCTTTATTAAGAAACATCAAATTCCACACTCTGCATATTCATACACATTCTTATGGGGACAGGGAGAGAGATGCTCTCATTTTCTGGTTGATATTTAGCAAACACTTTCTATAGTTTGAGGTTCAGGATGGGTAGATTTTTTTTTATTAAGTATTGAGTCTTTGTAATTTACACAGTCAATCATGGTTGAATTTCAGGGATACCGTTTTTCAACACCAATTCCACCACCAGTGACAACTCCTCTGGCTAATATCCCCCAACTCCCTTCCATTTCCCAGTCGGCTTCCTTGACAGGTACATTTTTAAGTGAAGTTTATGTAGTTTGATCTTATGTTTGCATTATTGCTGTCTCTGTCATTTACATATTTATATCATAAATGTACATGTGGGCTGGAGCGATAGCACATGTATATACTTATACCACACTTATACACCACTGATGTTTTTGACGCTCCGGATCCCTTCCCCTATTCCCCCTCATTTTCCTTTTCTTACCACCATAAGTTTCCTTCCTTCCCTGCCTCTTACATTTCTGTAAAGGGTAATCTTGGTATTTCCCCTTGAAAGCATACATTTCCTCCTCCTATTATTCTGTACACCACAAAAAGTGAAGTCATCTGGTACTTGTCTTTTTTCTTCTGGATCATTTCATTTAATATCATAATTTCCAGTTCCATTCAAATTCTAGTGAATTGAGTAAATTCATCTTTTCTTGCAGTTACATAGTATTCCATTGTGTATAGCATACTTTGATTATCCACTGATCTGTGGTTGGGAATCTAGGTTGATTTCATATCTCAGCTATGTGCTGCAATGAATAGTGGTGTGCAAATGTCCTTTTGAATGAATATTTTTGTGTTCTGGGAGTGGATACAAAGTAGTGGAATTGCTGGGTCATATGCTGGCTCTATTTTTACTTTTCTGAGAAACCCCCATACTATTTTCTATTAAAGTTGAATCAATCAATGCTCCCACAAGCAGTGAATGAGAGCAAAATTATCACCACATGCCTGCTGACAAAGTTTCTTCGATGTGTGCCATTCTTATTGGTGTGAGATGATATCTCATTGTCATCTTGATATTGTTTTCTAATAATAAGTGATGATGAATATTTTTCATGAGTCTAGTGGCCATCCTTTCATCTTCTTCAGAAAAAAAGTCTTCATTTCATGTCTCTATTTGTTGATAGGGTTTGTTGTTTTCTCTTTGTGAGTGCTTGGATATAAAGCATTTTGATCATATGCTTTTTGACCAAGCAAGTACAAGCAGAGATAAACAAATGGGATGCCACTAAACTAAGAAGCTTCTGTACCTCAAAGGAAATGATCACCAGAATACAGAGACAGCCACAGAGTGGGAGAAATTTTTTGCCAATTCCTCGTCCGATAAAGGCTTACTATCTGAGATATATGAAGCAACGGTAGAACTTTACCAAAAAAAAGAAAAAAGAAAAAAAGAAAAACCATAACACCCTATAAAATGGGAGAAAAGACGAAAAAAACATGTTCAATGCAATTTTTTTCTAGTATCATGTCTATGTGTTTTGGGTATTAGTGTAATGCTTGATTCATAAAAACTGTTAGGAAGTATTCCTTTTCTTCAATATTTTGGAGGAGCTTGAGGAGTAAAAGTAGTATGTCTTCTTTGAAAGTTTGATAAAACTCACTGAAAATCCCAAGGAAGGTAAAATTTTAATGCAGGTTTTCTTTCCAAAAGTAAAGTCTTCCTACAAAAGCTTTCAGAGCCAAAATGAGGTAATATGAAGAAGCAGTAACCTCTAATTTACATGGAAAAATATTTCTGTGTTCTCAGACACTTCAGTATCCTAATAAATCATACCAAATAACACAGAAAACCCTAAGTGGCATCATCTAATAAAAACAGGAAATATATGATGCATCCACAACCTGCAGAAAGCTCCTGAGGAAGGAGCACAGTGGTACTCCTTTCATTATTTCCGGCACATGTATCTTGCTAGAATAGCTGCTGAAAAACCAACCCTGGTCTCTATTTTCACTTTTTGCCTTATTCATTTAGACAAAACAAACACAAACACTGTCCTCCCGTTGTTCATCGATTTGCTCGAGCGGGCCCAGTAACGTCTCCACTTTGAGAGTTGTTGTTACTATGTTTGGCATGTTGAGTATGTCATGGGTAGCTTGCCAGGCTCTCCGAGAGAGGCGTAGGAATCGAACCTGGCTCAGCCGGACTGGCTGCATGCAAGGCAAATGCCCTACCACTGTACTATCGCTCCAGCCCTTCTAGACAAAATATTTTAATTTCTTTCCGTGAATGAAAATAAGTGCTAATGAAGCTAAAGAAGGATTTTTGAATAGGGATGTTTGATCCGAATTCCTGAAAAGTATTAGACACCAAATGCCTCATTATTCTGTGTGGCATCATGCCATTTCACTTAATTCTCTTTAAGCCCTCCTTCACTTCCTATGTAAGTGAAGAGGGCTGTAGGAACTCCTCTTGTGTCTGCCAAAGAGTCAGTCTCAGTACCTTTGAGTTCTTTACCCTGCTTGCTGGAGCTCATTCTGGACTGCGGGGATGATATGATTCCCAGCTCCACTCCTGCTTGGGCTGACCTGCCTTCACCCCCATGACTGCACTTTGTTGCAATCCTTCATTGATATGTATTTGGTCATTCAGTGTCCTTTGTTGAAGTACTAAGCAGTAGGACCAGTCAGAGTTGCTCCTTCCCTCCTTCTCTATGGGTAGGACTTGCTCTTTTCCTGATGCACACACCTTTTCCTGGAAGCTGCTTTTTACTTACAACCCGCCTCTCATTTTCTTTGTTCTAAGTAGGGAACTAGTAGGTGTTATAGAGGGGAGCAGTGCGTAAGCATGAAAGAGCATCTTGGAGTACACATGGGCTTATCTGGTTAAACTCAGAATTGCACTCAGAATCTTTGCCAGGAAAAATTACTCTTACATAATTGGACTGGGCTAGCCATGATATTTAATACCCCACCGGGCCTCTAACCATAGGGGTTGCCAGTTGATACAATTGTTGTGTATATGATGAGGTTAGAGATGGAGAAGGTAGGTCAGACTAACCTCAGTGTTGAACATTCTTGCAGTTGGTCATGTTTATGCAGGGTGCAGAATGAAACTGGCAATGAACCAAGCACTTTTCCAAGAATATGGGAGTTTTATTTTGACTTTAGCCATTATAATAATGAGCATTAATCATGTCATTTTAAAATATGATATTTACATAGAGCTAACTGAGCATTTCCGGGAGCCCATGAAAAATGCCATGTGAGAGAAGGTCTGAGCCCTTAACTGAGTTATTTTCCAAATATGACATACAAAGGTACAGTAAGTCTAGAACTAATTAGTTTAGGATGGCATAAAATATTTCACTGAGCTGGAAATGCACAATACTTTGCAATTTGTTGCCAGGTGCTATAATCCCTCCCCCCTTCCTTTTTTTTTAATTTCTTTCTGTTATTTGGCAAATTGCAATTCTTAATTTAGGGAGTTCCTTCCTTTTCATAGTGCAGCCAGCTGCTGACATGGAATATACCCTCACCCAGTACCCTGGGGCCCAGCCCAGGCTCAAAAGAGGAACTTTCCCAGGCCTGCTTTTTGAGAACAGTTTTTCTAGACATGACCCTGATTCTGCCAGAAAAACTGGGGTTGCAATGTGTGCTTTGTAAGATAGTACTGAAACCATAGAAGCCTTCTGTTTTCCCATGTCCTCCGCTTTCATAACTTAATTAAGATTTAATGAATATAGTTCTCCCACAGGATAATTCCCAAGGAAATACCTCATGCATGTAATCAGTCAGTGGGTCCAGAGAATAAACAAAGGAGAAAGTGGAAATGAAAGAGAGAGCACAAGAGAGCATAGCCCACCTGCCATGTTAGAACCAGAAGAAAATAGGAGTTCACATAGCATTTCTGTCAAGAAACTTAATTTATCCATTCATTTTCTCTCTCCTTCCTACACATCTCTGAACCCTAGGAGAAAAAATGATGAGAACATAACCTTGGAGACGGTTTGCCATGACCCCAAGCTCACCTATCACGGATTTGTTCTTGACGATGCGGATTCTCCAAAGTGTATTATGAAGGAGAAAAAGAGGTCTGGTGAGACTTTCTTCATGTGCTCCTGTAGCTCCGAAGAGTGCAATGACTACATCATCTTTTCGGAAGGTGAGTTGTCATCTCGTAAGGGTCTGGGACCTGTCATTGTGGATTTCTTGTGTCTGAGGCCTTAAAGTCTATCCCTCTGTGGCTGAACCTGGAGAAAGATTCCCCTCTGGAAGGAATGAGATGCCTTCATGTGGGTACAGAGGTGCTTAAGGTGTGACTCAGTTGGTTCTCTCATCAAATTTGGCTTATGCATGATAAATAGTATTTTCTACTTATAGCATTGCTGTTCAAGCACCAGCAGGTTTGTTCAGCAATTTCTTGACACAGTGCCAACAGATTTGTTTAGCAATGTAGATTCTGGGGAATTTCCAGGTCTCCTGAGTCAGAAACTCTGGGTGCAGGGCTCATTAGTCTATGTTTTCACAAGTATTCCAGATGATCTGATTCAGGGGAATGTTTAGAGTCACTGGTCTAGAAATAGGAGGCCGCTTATACAGGAAGCAGATATGCTTCAGATTCATGTAAGGGTTTTTGGGTACATAGTCCGTGTTGTCTAGTCTATATTCTATGACTTGTTGAAAAGTTACGTATTACTGGTTCTAATTTATGAGAAGAACTGAAATACTTGGGCAAAGGAATGAACAAAGGTTTGCCCAGGGAGGGCTAGATTTATTATTAACCTTCATCTTTGAAGCTTAGATTAATACTATGAATGAAGTATTTGTTCAGCTTGAAGGAAAAGCAAATACTATTCCATCAGTTAAAAAAAAAAGCTCTTGATTTTTTTTGTTGTTGTTGGGTGGTAGTTTGGAGTCATACTCAGAGATGTTTGGAGCTACTCTTGTCTTTACTCAGGAGACTGTGCGATACACAGGATTGAATCAAGGTCAGCCATATACAAAACAAGCATCCTTTATTATCTTTCCTGTATTATATTTCCCTATTTTATCTTTCTAACCTCCTAACTATTGGTTTTAGTTACAAAAGTAGTTTGTGTTTATTATGAAAGTTCAAATAATAATACATAAAATTTTTAAGCAAAAGTGTACTAATTTGTATTGACAGTGTTGAATACGTGCTTGACTTCGTCTTTCATTCTTCCTACACCTCATTCCCTACCATCTTCTTTTTACCCCTTCCTTCCCTCCTTCTATTCATGCATCCATTTTTTTGCCCATTTTTCTTCAGTCTATTTATCTACCTATCCTGCCCACTTACTTACATTTCAGTGCAAGTAGCTGGACATTTTGTAAATACACACCAATATTTTTTCACCCAACTCATTTTACTCTTTGTAAACAAGATAGCATATATATATATATATATATAGAGAGAGAGAGAGAGAGAGAGGTATAGGCATATAATTTTAGATATAGATACATACTGTCTTTCAGTTATTGTCTTCATTGGCATAATGTGGATTATCTCTCTGACTTCCATTCTTGATGTGATGAATTATTTAAGTACCTTCTCATTTCTATAAAGGTGCATTGGATATATTTTTTTTCAAACTATTTTGTATGCATGTGCACATATTTCTGATAGATAGATTTCTAGAAATTAAATTTCTGGATTAGAAGCAACACACATTTTAAATTTAGACAACCACTATGAAATTCTTGTGTTACTCCTTCCTGCAAGCCTAAGCATAGTCTATACCTTCTCCAACAGTGTAGATTGTAAGTCTTTGCTAGAATGATAATGAAAATATTCTTTTGACTGCAGGGGTGTAAGTTCACAGCAGGGAGAGTCCATTTCAGCCCAGAATAGGTCTTACTTTTCATTGAAAAAAGTCCCTGTGGAACAACAGTGCTGAGTTTCCATACTTTCCTTGTTACTTCTCTGTATGTGTTGTGTCTCATGATACAGACTCACCTCTTTTCATGTCCTTTGTGTTCTGCCAGGCTTCTTCCTGTGATAACTTCTCAGGGCATAAAAGCAGTCATATTCATTTCGCTAATGCAATACTTTTAAAATCACCCCTCACTTACTTCGTTCTTTTTTCCTCATACACTCCACTTTTCTCGTTTTACCTATGAATGGAGTGATAGCACAGTGGGTAGGGCATTTGCCTTGCATGAGGCCGAGCCAGGTTCGATTCCTCCGTCCCTCTTGGAGAGCCCAGCAAGCTACCAAGAATATTCTGCCTGCATGGCAGAGCCTGGCAAGCTCCCCATGGCATATTTGATATGCCAAAAACAGTAACAAGAAGTCTCACAATGGAGATGTTACTGGGGTCTGCTTGAGCAAATAGATGAATGATGAGAGAACAGTGCAACAGTGCTACAATTTTAGTAAAGAGCAAAGATATAACTAGTTTAAATTACATTAAAACATAACCAATGTGTCAAATTTCCCCAAGTAATTTACCTATAGAAAGAAAGCTCTGGCTAACCAGAAAAAAATCTCTCTAATAATAGACTTTCTAGACATGTTTACTATCATTTATGAAATTTTTCTCTCTATTTATATACTAGCTTGTATACAAAAGAGCTTATGTCATCCCAAAAGATCAATATTGATAAATGCTTGGTAAATTGGAGATAAGTATATTTATAAATCTTTAAGTCTATGTAAGCTTTTAAGACATTAATAACTTCAGTTTTCACATATTTCAATCCAGGTGATAATCATGAGTTCATATTAATATATTTCTTTCTCTTCACTTTCAGATTATTTATTTCCATATGAGTTAATATAAGTAAACACAAAGTCAGTTGCTCATTGTGCACAACACAACAAATCCATCATGGTTGATTTCTGAGTCTGAATAAATTCAGTGTCTCTTTGGCTCTGCAAGGCACGCTTTGGCTCTTCTTAAATGCTTTAGGTATAGGGATTGTTCTCTATATTGTTAGAGATATTAGAAAAAACGTTGTGGCATTCATTTCTCCTCTAATTTCTGTTATCTCTTTATTCCAAGAAATGAAAAGTTGAAGTAATTTTTATTTTTGCACTGGAAGCCAAATGACTGGCTACCACAAAGTACAGAAGTGTTTTAGGTTTTTTTAAAAAAATTAATATAGTATTATTGCCATATTTCTCAACTGCAAACACAATAAATTATAATTTCTTATATTTCCAATTTTTCTTATATATATAAGAACATATTTTTCTTATATATATAAGAATATATTTTTCTTACATATATATCTTAAGGTTCAACTTATGCCTATATATGTTTATATTTATATATAGGCATAAGTTGAACCTTAATATTTTTCTTTTAACTATAGATATTTATTTTTAACATTTATATAAGTGCTTTCATTTAGAAAGTGATGTATTATGCCCAGCCATTTCTATAGAATGGTCTCATTTAATCTCATAGCTACCCCATGCATTAGGCACTATTAGTATATTCATTTTATGGGTTAGAAAAACCCAGTTCCGAGAAGTTTAATAGTTGTGCAAAATCATGTGACTACTGGGTAGCCTGTATAAGATTTTTTAAGGCCTATATATGAGCTAAAATATGCAGGAGGACTTTCCTTCCCTCCCTTTTTCCTTCCTTTACTCTTTCTTTCACTTCTATTTTTCCTCCTTAATTCCCTATCTTTCTTTCCTTCCCTCCTTTCTTTTTCTCCTTTCTACCCTTCACATACTTCCCTCCCTCCTTCTATTACCATTCTTTTCTTATTCTCTCTTCATTTCCTTTTCCTGCCCTCTTTTTGACTCTCTACCTAAAGAGAGAATGCTTATCATTAAAAAGCAAATACAACAAAATAAGGGTCATGTAAATAGACTCTTGCTTTCATGTTGTCATCTAATTCCCTGGTCAGTGTTAACAGCTGATTGTTCTTTCAGAGAGATTTGTCTGGATGGAAAATCCTGAATTTGGGAAATAATATTATTGAGATCATTTAGAAGTCATATTCATTTACATAAGGGAGAACTGACTCATAAAATATGGGGTTCACCAGATGGTGACAAATGCATGCAGCTGGGTAACTATCACCTCCAGATATAGTCTCCTAACTACCAGTGAGTTTCATTATGCCATATTAAGTTCATTATTCAGATTTTATTCTCATTTTACAATTTAATTACTTTTTGTATTTTTTATTTTCATATTTTCATATTCTTTAATCAGTTGACCTCAGCCGTCTGAAGAATAGATTCTGCCCCCACTTTCAGATGACAGAATGCTCCTGCATTCTTTTGCTCCTGGAATCACCTGAAATGTCTAGTCTGCCTTATTTTGCTCAGCTTTTCTCTGCCACAGTCTTGTGGGTTGGGTGTCACGCAATGAGTGATGGTGAAGCTTGATGGCCGGCTTCAGAGAGCAAGGCAGTCATAGGAGCACCAGACTGCCCATGTGCCTGTCAGTTAATCTGCACTGCTTTCAGCTCCTTTTAGTCAGAGAAGACCTGAATGAAACCTAGGAGGTGGTGGTTGGGTAACTAAGCTTTCCTGTTGGAAAATGGCACATCCATTTTGCCGAAAAAGTATGTGGTTGATGATCTCCTGCCAAATTTTGAAGAATCAAATAGAAGCACTCCATTTTATTTATTTCATGAATGGCTTCCAAGTACACTTAGAACAGACAGTTGGCAAAGCACTGAGACAGGAGATGACTTGCTGTTTTAGGTGAGATGGACACAGACTGTAGGACAGTGGGTGAGATTGGCAGCCAGAGGTGGGGTTCCCAGACATAAGGTTTGCGCATCACTTGTTAGCTTTGTCATTGTAGGCTACTTACTTGGCATCTCCATTTTTCTGTCACATCTGTGAATGAAAATACAAAGGCTTTTGTCATGTTGTGAGAATTGGCTAGATCCATGCATGTCATGATTAATATATTTCTACACATAAATCACGTATAAGGTATTTACAACATCTCCTGGTACAGGATTCCCTAGCAGTTAGCTATTAATATTAATCTGTACTTGGATAGAGGTACAATGCTGGTACTTAAATTAAGACATAAGGCCAAGAATAGCCAGGCCTTAGGTCTGCCCCAATGTTGAGGTCAGCCCCAATGTTAAGTAGTGACCGTGGATAGGTCAGCCATATACTTGAACCCTCTATCCCATAGGAGTTTCAGTGGGTTTTATCTT